TATTTTGACCCCTCTTCCATTATGCATAATTGAAACTCCAGTTAACCGCCTCATCTGGTTGCTAATATGCCAACAATCGATGCCTTAAGTAAACCCAGTCCTATAACATGAAAATTTAATGGTCTTTCAGTGCAGCAAAATCACTGCATTCAAAACATCCGGAAGTTGGAGTTAATATAGAGGTAACCATTTATAAGCCTGGGAAGCTCAAATTTCGAAGTTATGCTCGAAATGAGCCCTTTTTGTAGCTCTTCCCGGAGATTCTGCGTGACAATTTACTCATTGAGCATTGCTTAATTGTAATCCGACTTATGAAAAAAAATCTAAAACATTTTTTCCGAACTTGTGTGAAAAGTTTCACAAACATTATCGCCTAAAAGAGAGAAAATGAAACAAAGGATCTTTGTACTGATGCTAAACTGGCAAGTAAAGTCTTTGCTTTTTTGCCTAGAAATATTCCCTGTTCACGCAATTCTAACAGTGATCCAAAGCTCCTACACCAGTTGTGACTCACTGGACTATTCTCAGCATGCGTCTTAGCCACCGCAGCATATTTTTCTTATACAAAATTTGTTTTTGTTTTCAAAAAAATACCATTAGTAGCCTCAGACCAAATCAGTAAAACGCCTTGTTGTGATTGGTTAGCAAATAATCGTTACTTATTTTGATACTTACTGAGTTTTCCAAAAAATAACCAAATATAAAACCAGTAATATAGTTTAAGAATTTGATAAGTTATACTTTAAGATGCAATGTTATTTTTACACTCCTTAGGGAAGTGCATAAGGCAGTTCACCAAACCCTGGTTGGTTCAGATCAAGTTATTGAGAAATGATGCGTTCCATGCTACCAGTTTTAATTATTTACGTAGTTGGAGGAAATAACAACTCCACATTCCCTATTCCTCTGGTTAAGTTTGTAAACTATCTGATAGGGTAAGACCCCAAATTTCCCCGCTCCACTAAATCCCCATTATTCTTAATCCGCTTTTCAGCAAGGTGGAGCCAGGTGTCTCCATAGCGGTGCAAAAATATATCCAAATAATAACGGTCACATCACTTATTAAAACGGAGGATCCTCAAGGTCGGAGTAAATTTTCACCGATATTCTCGCGTACTTTTGGTTTTTGGTGGAGTGTGTGTATCTGGAAAAAACGTTATCTCGCTAGAACCTGTGCTTGTGTGTGGATGTGCATTTACTCGTCTTTGAGTAACAGGCAAAATAACATATTCAAACTAATGTACTACCTTTACAAAAGGGCTGGTGTGACTACTCTCTGATGTGCCTAATTGACTACACTTCTCACTGATAAAATTCAAAGTTACCCAGGATGCTTGAAGTCGGTGGGTCATCCTGTAAACTTTAATCTACCGTACGAAGTGCTTAAGATATTAAAGTTGATCCAGAGCACATTTAAGGTGGACAAGGAATAGGAGAGGGATAGCTTCCGCGAAGAACTTGTCCACTTTGAACATTTTGTAACAGTTGAAGCCGTTGAGTTTAAATCAGCCTTCTTTTGCTGACATACAAGGTGCTGTTGGCACTACTTATGGGCAAACCACTTGCTCCAACTCATTGTGCCTCCAAAAGTTCATAAAGTGCTTTAAAAGGTTTCAAATGTCCTATCACCTTGTTTTATTTTGGGGAATAGGTAAAGGCCTCAATTACAGGCTGAAAAGTTCCTAAGAAATTATTATTTTAGCACTTTGGGGCTCAAGCAGTGCGGCTGTGGTCAGCGTCGGTCAATGCAATTTACCAAAGTGAGTGGAAGCTTCCTTTGCCTCCTTTTCACCCATGACTCACCACATTCTATCTCAGTATAGTTCAAGAGTTCCACAACTTTCATAAAAGTCCTCTAGACTTGCAGTCGTCGCGTTTGTTGGTCTTCGTGAAACTCGCCAAGAGTAGTCTTGGTGAAGCTGAGGCAATTTACCCATTTTCAGATGCTTAACAATGACTGGCAAGCCTAAAGCTATTCACAGTCTATCTTCATCTAGGAAATTAAAATCGAACTGTACATAGCTTGTTACAAATAGCAAGAGATAGCAACGCTGAGAAAGTGGCCTAACTGTTATTTTTTTCTTAACAAATACAACCAAAAGTTGTTTGAGTTGGCCCCTGAAAAGTGATTCTGGTTGTATAAACTCGAGGACTAATAATATAACGTGTTAAGTCAGGAATGAGAGGTGTGGAGATGAGATTGATGTGGATATTCAAGACGACAAGCACCAGTACGCACTTGTCTTAGGCTACTCCATTCCATGCACACCCACCTCACCGTGTCATCATGTGGTGAGGCTCCAACCACGCCCACTAACACAGTACAGAAATGTGAATAAGTCTGGTTACCCTAGCTTTCATCATCGCTTCGAAGGCCTACTCACGTGAGTTGCATTGCCTTGCTGAGTTGACGTGGAAGAAAAAACAGGGAGATGCAATTGTTTTGACTTCTAGACCCACGTGATTGGTTTAATTGTTTATGTTGACTTTCGCTTTTTGACCACCGTCTGAAGTGGTTTTGCTCCTGTTTCTGTCAGTGTCGCCATTCCAAAAAAAGGTACGCCCTAATGAATACACGCCCATTGCCAGTTGCCATACTTCCAAGAGGCTGTTCCAAGGATGAGAAAAGGTGAGCATCTTACCTGTGGCCTGCAGGATTCAGCCCGTGTCCTACCCTGATTATCAATCCACACATGAGGTGAATCCAAACGATCAATAGAAAAGTCTCATGAGTCTTGTTAAAAGGACTATTGTTTAGCCTTACAGGAAAATAGCAGAGCAATAGGGTTAAAACAACAGTCGACAACAACATAGCCGCTATTCTTGATTTGGAGGAAAAACGAATTTGTGCCAAACATGTCAAAAATGTAGTTTTAAGCTGCTTTAGAGGTTGGCCATGAAGGCCTCAGGATAGTTTAATTACGAAAAAGATGCAAAAAAAAACGAAGGATCATCGACTGCTTTGCTGACCTGACGACTGTCTTAAGGTAAGACCAAGTCTATTTTAGCCTTGATAATTAAAGATGCGAAAATTTGATTCTAAGTTCTTTTGTGAGCGACACTTGTAAGGGAGCTAGTTCACTTAAGCCGTATTCACGCAACCGCTTCATGATGGAAGATACGTAGAGCACAGGACCACGGGGTGGCTGCCATGGCACACACACGCATGCCAACATGGGGACGTCTGATTGGTTTGCATAAGCATCGTCATCTCTCATTCCAATTGACCTCATTTGGCTCTTCCAATCAGGTTAATGGTCACATGGAGTCGTAACAGGTCGCAGATATTATCCAACTTCGGTAGGGAGGATGGGTAGCAGGGGAAGAAGAGAAGGGGAGGTCGTCTAATTCGGCGTGTGTGCCTGTCTGCGCTTAGCTACAGGCAAAATCGCGCTTGCTCTCAAAAGTGAGCAACAGAAAGTACGTTCATCTGTACTCACACATCACCCGAGTTTCACACCTGAGTCGTGGTAAATTAAACATAATTAGTTTTGCCTCAAGCGGAGAAGTATTAACCACCGGTTTCAGTTGGTGGGGCACCCGTTTGTCTAGCATTCAAGAATAATGAGTATAGGCAAAACGCTAGTTTGAGTCCTCTGCACTATTTAAGTGGAAATTTATGCTTTCAAAAAGCAGATTACTAGAACAACGTCCCCTTCCAGGTGAATGTGTAATGCTTAAGAACTGTCAATCAGTGGAGAGGCTTGATTATTACTCAAGTCAGGATCTCGGTTTCCAAATGATTAAAAAAGGACCCCCTTTAGCAAGTCGCCTGATTTTCTGCTTTGACAGGACACTAAGTCGCCGTAGGAATGCCAGTGCGCACCACACAATCACTTCAACGGATTAATAATGCCTTACTCAGTTTGAAGTGTTTATGTTGGTTTTGCATTTAGACCTACGAGTACCAATTTTCCATTTCACTTGGTGGCATTAGGCTTCATTTATTTAAAAACTAGAGCCACTTTAGAATGAATAAAAACGCATCATTGCGGATTGTTAACTGCCTGGTTGAAGGCTTTTTAGAGACCAAAAGGGAGCGAAGATACACCCGCAATTTAATCGTCTCCTACAGCTTTGGTGATTAGGCGCGCCACAGGTGACTTCAGACTGATGAAATTAGGGTTCCAAGACGCCGTCGAATCCATTATTTTTGAGAATAAATGGATTTAAGGTGAATCTCATCCCCCGGCAATCGTAAAGAAATTATGGAAAAAAGGTATCAAACTGCGCTTGGCACAAAATCAAGGTGGATAGAAGAATACTAGCTTCGTCAGTAGGAGTAGATCTTTTAATCCCAGTTCAATAATTTAGTTTGAACTTTCCCTCGCCTCTCGTGAATGCCATTGGCGATCTTAACCCGGCTTGCGACGATGCTAAATAACATATCACCTGGCAGCTGGTATTTAATGCACTGTAACTGGAGTTAAGGTAAGTGTGACAAATTGTTTTCAACTCACAAGTACTGTTATCAAATTGACTCCTAATTAATAAAATTTATTGCTAGAAAACAAATAATTGATGCCACGGATTGGCAGTCGACTTGAAACAGTCTCTCCTGCATTACCTACGTAGTGTGGATTTTGTATAAAGATACAAAACTATACAAGAACCTGGGAGGCGATTAAAGTGAATGGTTAATACAGAGAAAGACGGAATTAATTGAGCACATATAGTTCTGTGTGCATGAAAAGATAGGAAAGGCCGGGAAGGGGGAAGGGAGGAAGTGGTTTGTTGGCAGTTATAAAAATAAAAATATTGACAGTTTCGTGAACTCAGGAAGAATTTCTACCTAAAAAAGACAAAAGTATGGATTCAGTTTGACCCCAATGTGTGGAAGTATCTTTTTATTTCAGCTCAGAATGGTGGTGATCTGCGCAGGGATGAACTCTGGAAGACTTACAATAGCACATGGTCTTCAGGGGAGGCACAAACACTAGCACACCTAGGTTTTCTGCATGTCAAATGAACAGGACGACCCACCACGGAGGGGATGTTTTTCAGGGAGCAGAATTGACCCGAGTGACGAAGTTCTGCCAGGCGTAGCGCTTTCGTCTCTCGCGGATCCGCTTCACTCCGCTCAGTGCGATCTGAAAGTCCCACCAGGCATCGGAACTGATACGCCAAAGGATGCCTGGGAGGAGGGTGAGAGCCAAAACCAATGGCAGACACAACCAGAATGCAGGGCAGGAGGCCAGGTACACATAGTTCATGTACATGTAGGTGGATGTCCCGCCGAAGGTCTAAAATAAACCATTTTTACTGTCCTGGCTCTTGGAAAATCAAGAATTTCTCCCCTCAACTGCACAAAGCCAAATATTGGCAACTACTAAAATATGAAGGAATCTGAGGCAATTTATACTCACACACTTTGAAAGACTTGCCATCTAGCGTAAAAGAAGAATGGGGATCTTGAAGGTGGTTTGGAGAGTCAGTCGCTTTTAGTTAGGACAGGAAATTCAAAGGAATGAGAGTTGGACACACGAAATGGAACCTCAAATGGCCCATTTTCGGAGTAAAGACTTCATTTAAGTAAGTAGTAAATGAAAGAAAGTAGCTCATTTTGTCATCCTTTGGAGGCTAATGCCAAGATTCTCATCAGGTTTGATCTCTTTACCTTGAAAAATGCCTACTTCTAAGTGAGTGCTTACACTACCAAAGAATTGCCACCCCATTATCTAGGCAAACATGCGCATTGGCGTGGTGTCGACTTCCAGGCGGTTGTTGGCAGGTTATTTTGAAAAGTCTGGGTGGTTTCAATGGCACACCGTGAGCAGTAAAAAGTGATCCTAGAGGTCATGGCTAAAAGCTACCACTTCCCAAATGTGGTTGCATACTACATACACATAAATGTCAACACCCTCACAACACGAACTGTAAAAGTCAATGCATTTGGACTGTGTGAGAGGTGAGGAGAATGGAGGACTCAAGTTCAATTAATTTAGTACTAAGGAATTATTTTTTCCCATCTTATGAGACTTATTTAAGGGTCACATCTGTACCTGAGGTCGTCAGTGACTGACAGTTCTTGTAAGTCGATTTGGCAGCTACGGTCCTCATATCTCCTTCACTGTACAAACAGCGTTGACCAAAGGAGTTTTTAGTAGACCTCAATGAAATGCATGGGTATAGCTTCCCATTGTGAGAAACAATTAAAGGGCAAAATGGTAATTGCCATTTAGAGCCGTTCAAATTGTGACCAAGGAGACACAGCGACTTATAGTGACATAGGAGAGGGAAATGTGGAATTGCATCTTTGGTATCCGTGATTCAAGTAAGTCACCATAGTCAGCAAAGTTCAGCGCGCTACTGTCATAGTTGACCATTTGTGTTAGTGACCGTTGGTTTCTCAAGGAGGACAGGCATTATGAAGCTGGTCCTCCCCTTCGATTGTTATCTCCTTTGGGTATTTAAGGAGAAACGAATATTGCGCTCATAGACAATTTAATGACTCTTGTCTAGGTCTAAAATATTTATCAAGATGTGTGACGCAAGTATAGAAGGCTAAAAATAGTTCATTTGATAGTAGGGGGTATCAGGTTGAAGAAATCATACGATGGTCACTTAATAAATATTGGAGAAGTCTGTTTTTGAACCCAAAAAGAGGTGAAAAGGTTTCTTTTTTAAATGACGACTGAAAATGCAAAAACTGCAACCGAAATCGGATGATACGCTTGAATCCAGAATGTGATGAACAGATGTTGAGTGCAGATTATGAAATGAGATGAGTCGGGTCCCACCTCACCTGATAGATGAACATGATAGAGAGGTTCATAACTCCGGTGACGAAGAGACCGATGATGATGAACCGGTTGAGGTATCTCGACATTACAACAATGCGCACTGTTCCCGTCACTACCACGTAAATGTAGCAGGCGTTGCCGAACATGTTGAAATCAACGCCAGCATAGGAGACCCCCGACTGAAAAAAATGAGCGTCTGAGAAGTTCATTCCACCGGCAAGGACGTAATGACAGACGTAATATATGACCGTCCCATGCCACCATCCGTCAGCAATCCAGAGAAGAATGTACCAGCAGCGAAGGTTTGCCGATAGATTCATCTAGAAAGTTGGAAAGGGAGATAAGAAAAGGAAAAGATATTTATAGGATGTTATAAAGAGAGAATTAATGCCACTTACGAGACGATAAAGGTAGGGACGATGCATCAGATCTTTGGATGAAACATGTTGCTCAAAGATTCCAAAAACGAACGGCGCAAACGAGGTGAAGGTGAGGTTGTAGAAGGTGTAGAGAAGGCTATCGAACATGGACTGACCTGAGAAGCCATCGTAGAACATTCGGTAAATTTGAATGGCTACAAAAGCCACATTCTTGAAGTAGAAGATATTCGCCGTCATGCTGATACGGTAGTAATTCCAGTGACCGTGAACCAAAATCAGACGTCGAAGGTGTCTGAAGGGATTGGAGGGGGAAGTAGTACAAAAAACGACGAGTTTTCACAGTTCTTCGTTCGACTCACGAATTCTTAAAAAGTGCTAATAGCGGATTTCTCCAGCCTTCCAACTCCTCTGAGAAATGATGCAAATTAATAGAATGCAATCAGGCTCTACCTGAAGAGTGGTAGGGCGTAATCCGAGGCTCTGACGGCCTGTCTCCCCTCATTTCCAAAAATACCGACACCAACACTAGCCTCGAGAAGCATAGCGACGTCATTGCCACCATCCCCGACGGCTGCCGTAACCGGACGACCACCACCACCAACACCGTCCAAACCATGGCTCACCAGACGTACGACCGCAGCCTTCTGCAGTGGTGTCATGCGGCAGCACAACACTGTGGTGACGTTCATGCAGAGACACAGGAATTGATCTCGAAGCACCGGCTTAAAAATGAATAGCGAGCCGATTACTTGCAATGTGATTAAATAACAAAGCAATGGCGAGTGCAACTTATTCATCACTGCGGAGTTTTTTGAACTAAATTACTTCAGTAGTCAAGCCAAATAAAATTGGGTGGGAGTGTTATGAGGAATCGCCTTCATTAAGCTTACTTCCCAAGGTAATTCTTTTAATAATCCTAATCTGGGAAACTTCGCAAGGGAAAGACTATTGCGCTCCACCAAACACTTTCCAGAAAACTTCTCTCAATATCTACATTTAAATGGGTGAACGGCGTTTCTGTCTTGTAGGTGGTTAAATTGTGATGATCGAGAGGGTCTCCGGGGAAGGTGATGCAAATAAATATATTTGTTAGGCAGTGGCATGAAGCCATACTCCTATCTGGTAATCAACGTCAAGGTTTCAATCTACCTCGTTGCTATACTTTGGCGAAACTTGAGGCTTTGTAAAGTACATGCGACTGTTTATATGCCCGCATTATGCAGGATGGATAGATGTGCGGCCATGTCACTACTAGCCTATTTATTGTGCTCCCTACTACATCCATCTTATTTTCAACTACTACATCTCATCACTGCAGTCTGGCCGATGTGATTTTACCCTGTTGCCTGTCAGCCAAATTGAGTCCAAGGTATACCCAGGTCTCCAGAAGCACCTAGAAGTGCCATGCCACAGCAAAACGTGCCACCCAGAAGTTAGCTCAGCCATTTCTTTGGTTTCGGTAATGAGGTGATGAACCATTCAAAGCCAGATGCATCACATTTGGAAACAGCCGTAAACAGGGAACTTGATATCAATAACTGACTGGTTGCGTGCCAAAAAAAACCACTGCCTAAAACTGATCATTTCCAAAATTCGTGGCTGTGGGTCAAACTTGGATTACCAATGTGCTTCAGTCACGAAGTGAAATAGTGAGAGCAATGGAATATTGTTGTTACCCATAAACGGCACACAAAAGTGTGCGGATTCATATCAAATGCAACGATGGGCAAAGCGGCGCAACACCTCTTCCTTTCATCTCATTCCAGCCTTGATTTAAACCCAGTTTTGAAGGTTCAATTACTGCGGAAAGTTCGACAGAAGTGAAAACAGGATAACTGAAGTAGACACTTAAGACGTAATGCCCTGTTATGAAAATCTCTTTGGAGCATTTCGTCTTGTCGAGATGTTAATTCCTCTCTCAACACACTACTATCACCACTGATAATCGGCTGTCACCACCGAAGCACTCACCATGATAGCGTAGCGTAGAGTTGTACCATCGATAACCAAACCGACGGGTTCGTTAGCTCCACCGGGGTTCTTCCGTCTGTGACGTCGAAGACCATCTGCCAAAGCGGCTCGAAAGCCGTGTATGACGCGGTGAAATACGGAAGTGGCATTGTTTTTCGGAGGAAACTCAATGTCGGTGGAGTCAGGAGATGAGACGGAGGAATCCGAGTCACTGTCACTCATCTTCTCTCTCACATTTGTTTGCTGTCCCATCTTCATCTTAAAGAGGTTTTTGAACCTATTCCGTGTTCTCTTCACCTCCAGACGTGCTTTCATACCCTCCAATTGAACGTAGATCGCACGTCCTACGTCGTCCACACTCTGCCCATTTGTTAGGCGAATCAGGGTTGTCCCTGGGGGAAAGTGACCAGTTGCCTGACTGATCTGAACCGCTGTCTCTTCTTTGTCACCTGTGAGAACCCACACCTACGTAGAGAAGTAATAGCGTTTAGCTATCAAACTTAAGTTTTTCTTGGAAGTAGGACAAATCTCCACCTACTTGAATGCCCGCCGAGATGAGACTTTGGAGGCAACGCTTAACTCCGGGTTGGAGTTTATCTTCCACACCGCTAACTCCTATTAGCGTCATTTGGGATTCAATCTTAGCAGAAACGTCATCGATGGCTCGTGCTCGCTCTGGACCGAGTTGGCATTGGGCATTCTTCAATTGCTGCAACAAGGACTCGTATGTATAAGAGTCCACTTCACGGACGCTGAAAACTAAGATTCTCAAGCCAGACATCGCGAATTCTGTCACTTTGCGAATGATTTCATCTTTTACGTGAGAGGGAGTCTTACCACATCGCTGTAAAAAAAGCGATACGGTAATGAGGAGCAGTAGAAAATGAGAGGAGAGTACACAGAATATAAGGAACTCACTCTGGGATCTAACATCGCCACTTCAGCACCTTTCGTGTAGACAAAGCATCGACCATTTTCATCTCGTATCATCACTGACATGCGTTTACGGACAGAGTTGAATTCGAGGACTGCGTCCATGCGGTAGCGCCGAGTCTTCAAATTACTTTGTTTTTCGTTTAGAACGCCCGGATTGAAGCGAACCAGGCGAATATTGTACTCTTTTCCAGCTTTATTTACCGTCTCATCCACTCCAAGGTAGATGAGACCAACTTTTGCTGCGGCATCGACAAGGGCCTTTTCATCTGGGGAGGCTGCCTAACGGGAGTAAAATCAGCACTTATTATCACAAAGCTACAATCACTAGACCAAGCTTAGAAACTTACATTGTAGGTGATAACTTCTTCGTTAGTCTCCTTATCAATCTTAATCTTAGCCTCGATAGAATGGCACAGTACGACGTTGAGCCAAAATTGTTTCGCCTCTTTTGATAGTTTGAACACGCGCTGTTTCGTCTGAAGTCCATGCTGCCAGATATTACTATCTCCTAACTCATCAGTATCATCCTCTTCTGAAGATGAGAAGTAGTTGGTGGCGTTGACTGACTGTAATGCGGTGGAGTCCTCTTTATGCGTTTCCGAAATTGAGACAGTTTTACTGTCATCTCGCATCATAAATAAGCCACCTTCTTCCACGTTGTAGATATGGGGATCGTTGGCTAGACTGTAGCTCTTAAATATCATCTTATTTTGTGTCAGTGTCCCAGTCTTGTCACTAAACAGAAACTCAATTTGTCCAAGTTCATCAGCAAGGTTTGTGGCATTTACTTGTGCCTTTTCGTTAGTCTCCGGGTCGTAAAATTCAATGTCCTTGGAGATGAATAGAGCCAGTAACAATTGTTGAAACTCCATAGTCACCATGATTGAGATAGGTATGAGGTAGTTAATGATGAACAATAAGGTGAGGTACTGCTCGACCCTCCTCCAGGGAGTTATGGGTGAATTAAGGATATACCAAGCTGATCCAAGGGGTAAACGTCTCCAAGCAAAGTGCAAAATGGTTGTAAGAAGGGTTATCAGGAACATAAACACCATGAAACCTAGTAGGATTGCGTTGAATCTTCCTGAAGAGGAGGAGAATTTTCGAAAGCCGGGCTTGCCATTTAATGATAATTTGGTATCAGCTCCAGTATATACAGCGACACCAAGAATGAAGGATGTATGACGAAGGTTTGATCCACGTAAAACCAGATTGTTCAGTGAGAGAGGAGTCGATTCCTCTTCGTAGTTGAGACTGCCCTCAAAAGACTTTAGGTCGTCGTTGGGGTTCTGACACACTATCGTCGAGCGTGGGAGATTAATTGTAATGTCCTCATACTGTTCTTGTTCAATATGCTGTACTGCTGATACTAGAGCAGACTGGGTGAAAGACAAGGTATTAGTGGTTTTCACACTGGATTCGCCATCAAGGTTATCTGTTGTAATGTAAACTTTACCATTGGAATGGCTGGAGGCAAGAAGTAACATGTCGCAAGGAAAAGAGTTATTTTCAAAGCAAACTATGATATCCCCACAACGAAGTTTTTGCGACTGCCGATTCTCCCATCTTGAGGTTTGTCCATCTGGATCGTGGGCTAAGACTAAGTAGGGAGTTCTATTAAACTCACGATCTGTCTTGTGGCGCTTCATATCATCGACAGCATCCTTGATCATCGAGACACCAATAACGGTCACAAGTGGCGCAATCGTTGTTAATGGATTTATCGGAGTCTCCCCGAAGAAGTAAAGAATGGAAACCAGAAGGAAAAAAAAGTTTGCAATGATGTGAAATTGCTCATATAGGTCCACAGGAAAAAAATTCCACCAAGTGTAATGAGAGGTGATGACTCTGTTGTCGCAAAAGTGCTTATTAATACGAGAGGCTTCTTCGGCTTGACTGGGTATGCTATTAATAAGAATTGTTCTGCCTTTGGAATCATCTTTTTTCCTGGGCCACCCGAAAAGGCCAATTTTCTCAACATTTATTGGAAATGAAGATGATCCACCCATGGGAGTGGCGATTTGAGAAGGGCAGTGCTTTCACTGGCGATCACATGTTCAAATTCTTATTAAATAGGAGCCGCTGTTGACCTTAAAAACTAAATTTAACGTGGAATACTAAAATAAAATATATTTATCAAAAAATAATAGCTTTATTAGTTTGTCGCTTCAAGTCTTGCATTTGACGCATTAAAACAGGCACATAATCGTACATTTTTGGGTAGTTAAATGAATGAGGGTGTTTTGCCGTTAGCGGGGCTTTAAGATCAAAACAAATTGATTGTACCCAAATCCCATTTCGTAACCTTTTTACATATTACTTTACAGAAAACAATTTACAGAATGAAGGTGAACGCATCGCGAGATTATTATAACGGTAAGGCACGGTTATCAGTAGGTCTATGCGGGGAACGTTTTTCACAAATAGGACTGTGTTTCCACCGCCCACTTATTTGAGCGCAAAAAAGCCAACTATGGACATAATTTGCTATTGCTTTGTGTTTTAACAACAATTTCATTAAGGTCACCACTGAATGATAATCTAAACCGACTAAATTAGTTCAAAAGTTGGCTTTTAGGACACTTATTACAACTTAGTACGGAATGCAATTGCTTTACTATATCTAATTTTAGGTACAACGCTTAGTTTCTTAAACCAAATCAATTAATTAATGGGTAGCAAATCCCAATGGAACATACACCATTTTCATGTCTTACATCCTGCTTCACTTGAGTTCGGAATTTGATTTTTGAAGCATTTTGTTGAGGAACAAAGGATTAGCCAACACCCTAAAGGCTGGTGTTAGTTAATAAAGCACGGAGTAATTAAATCGGGTAGCCATTTGACAACAGCAAAACCAAAGTTTTTAGTGCAAAGCCCCGAGACAAAGAAAGACAGTACTTGGGCAGAATATATAGATATGATGTACGGCAGGGTTTGAGGGTAATGAGGGCTTAAAAGTTAGCCTGCCCGACGAAGATACAATGGCCGGGACGCTTTACCAAAACTAGCTCTTCCCTTCGCCATTCTTCCGTCTCAACCATCACAACGTAATCATTACTGCAAGAAATACCCACGAGCCAACCCACCTAGTCATCAAATTTTTACCCAGCTAAGAAGGTGCTTGATCACAATGTTTCTGACTACTCTGAGCAACTCTACCAAACCTGGAGTTTCGTCTCTAATGGGAATTGTACCAAGGGGCGGTAACAGTGCAAGCCATCATGCTTGTCCATAGGTGGAAGCAGGAATACTAGCCTAAAGGCACATTTTTATAAAAGGGATAAAATTTTAAGCAGTTCCATGCGGATAGTGTTCCACGTCTGTACTTCTTTGCCACCTATTTCTCACTTCAGTATTACTCAGCCATATTAATATGGGAGATATCAAGCTTCAAAAAGCAAAAAAGGTACAGCGTCTTTATAAAACTAATATTATCATGCAAGTGCTGTAGATAGCTCTGTAATGATCTTTTTCAGAGGTTTCATAGTCACCGCTAGTGTCGCTTCACTTGTTAATAGCCTTCCTTCAGAACACGGGACCGGGTCAGTTGCTGAAGGTAGACGTCATTATCAGCCCTTTTGTTTTGGATCGTTACAGATTCTTCCACCCTCTCGCTGAGGTTTATCACTCAGTAGCAGAAATAGGAATTGGTGTAGTTTAAGATCTGATTTGTATTCCACAGCCACTAATGTAGCAACTAGAGACTTCGCTAAAGACAAAAGAAAACATGAACATGAGGCGAAATACACATATTTGACATACAGGAAGGATTGCGGCTACTTGAATGGGGTAGATGGCAATTGTCCCGACGAAGGTACAATGACCATGGCACAGAGCTACCCTTTAATAAAACTGAGAGTTGAACAACCAACGTGTTACAATTAGTATCATTGCACGTCATGTATTCTGATAATTTGCGTTAATAACCTCAGTATAAAAGTAGTACCATTCACTTAGAATAATTTTAATATAGGTTTCGGTTCTAATATAGGTTTTGACTGCAGAAATAAGCAAGCCACGGTGCGCATATAATACCTCAAACCTTACGTTATTTTCAATAGGTTGGTGGTTAAATGAACGTTTAAATACGAAATAGTGGATCAATGCAATGCACAATATGAGCAACGATGAGATTGTTATTTCTCCACTTCTGCATAAAAATGATGGATTAAATTGGACATTTAATTCATCATGAGGCCACGACCATCATAACGTCCAAAATAACAATTGTTTGTTGAAGAAACCAACTACTAATAGGTTTCTTGTGGTTTATATCAGTTACCTTCGAGTGTGGGTTATCGGAATATTTTGACCTTGTGTTGGTACATGTTTGTCGGTTGTCGTCTGTGTGGCCATAGATTTTACGACAATTTTAAGTTTCCTAGAAGATTTAACAACGTCTTCCGAACACAGAAATCACTTGAACCATACCCTGCTCCTTTGTTTTGAAGCAATGGATTTTATTCAGCATGTCTAAGCAACGAAAATTTGTTCAACGTCTTACCCATGGTGGAGTAATCAGTTCAAAGTCCGCCGAAATTGAAGGTGCTCCGAAGGATACTTTTTCAAATTTTGTAAGTAACTTTGCATTCGGAGTTGTTATCATGAGCCCGATTCTTGACTTCTGGCTAGTGTTTAGGTAGTTTTTACCACTTTCCCTTTTCCAGGTTTTATTCACCTGTAATTTCCCACTTAGGGTTAAGTGGGCAATATTAAGTCTAGCTAGTCGATCCGAATGTGGCTATAGATTCGCAAATACTTTAAGCTTGGGTCCAATACTCACGTATTTTTTTCTGAAGAAAATCTCTTGCGTCTACGAACCGATCGACTATGAACAATACCTCGTGCAGAATAAAGCCTCGATAATGAGTGACCCTCATAGAGATTTGGTTTTATTTCCTCCTGATGATGTAAAGGTATGTCACTTGTTTGTCTTATTCTATCCCAATTTCTCCACCACTTCCATATTCTGGCTACACTTTCCCTTTCATTCCCCAAATTTGCTGGTTTATTGACTTAAAATCTTTTTTTCTAGCTAATTTGGTATTTGTCTCGGTGTAGCTGGTGTTTAGTTTTTTTCAAACTTGTGCTACTGGTTTTAACTCCGGGCTATCTTTAGTGACGGCAGTCCCTTGTTAAGCAGTCTGATTTTTGATCAGCTCAGCTGTTACGACCTGTTGCTTATAGTATTGACACCGATGTATTATTTAAGGCGATCGCCTGAACTCGTTCTTATTATTTCGCACTTTTTCCGGACTTTTTATGTCACTGAGTCCAAAATCTCATTCAGAACATAAATATTTTCAGACGACTTTAATTTTGTGCTTTATCTATAGTTATTCGACACCCTATTTTTTAAGGTTCCATATTCTTGATAAACAGCTTCGTTTGCATTATTACATGCACTTTTTCGGAATGCCAACCCCTCCATGAGGTTGTCAGAACTGAAATGAGTAAATTAGATTCGTGTCTTTATAATGGGCCGCATGTCTTGCATGCTTATCAAAGGTCAAATTTGGGGTTGGCACCAAATGGAACTCATAGTGAACAAGAAAAATGGGTTTTTTAACGTGTGAAAGATTATCGTGTCTATACCTCTTTCTTGATGCGGTTACAAATGGATATTTATGCTCAATGTCAAGCTAGGCGAATGAGGCCTTAGAATGGTATTTAAAATTTATGATTAAAGTAAGTGGTACCGTTTGAATTTCATTTAGGCAGTAGGAGGCTATTTTAATGGACTGGTCTTATTCCAGATAGTGGCGCACTATATCACCGGCAAACTAACGTATGTGACGAAAGACCAAACCAATCAAAGATCAAGTCTTGCCTTCTAGCATTCATGATGAAATTCCATGAATTAGTCGTATTTCAACACCATTAGTTAGTTTACTACTATAGAACTCAAATTAGCCCTGGAAATGTTGTAGTACGCATCAGTCTGGAAGTAGAATTCCCCTAATTGTACAGAAAGGCTTGGAAGCTAATAGCGGATTTGAAGCATAAACTGGGCTCCATGCTACCACGAAGTTCAGTTCTTAAAAAATTCCGCCGATCATCCACTTCGTTTTGGTAACATTACAAACATTTTTTAGTGTATAAACTTAGACCGTTAGATCCAAATCTGGCTAACATCGTTCGTTTTGTAAATTCTGAAACTTGGACAGCTGTTAAGTAGATTGCTAATTCTGCTCCATCTTTCTGCCACGAATCCCTGCAGGGGTCCAACCTTTGTACGATTGAATGGTACCAGCTCACGACGGAATCGCTAAATAGCATTCAGTATCGGCATGGATGGAGCCCTCAATCGTATTCTTTCTTCTTGCCAGATCGTGCGACTCCAGCGCACTCTTCCTAACTCTGTGAATGGTGCACCACTGAACACAGGTATTTCGGAGCTGACGAAGACCAGCGCGTTGGCGCGGCACGTCGCGACCACCTGCTTGCCTCCTATGTGGTGTATAGTGCGGGAACCTTTCATCCGCTTCCGTGGCGCCTTCTGTGACCTTCCCAAAAACCCGTAAGTTGGCTCTATCTCTTCCTCATTTTCAATCATTAGTAAAGGGGTACCGCCTCCTCCATGAGATACTCAGGTCTTGTGCTTCGGCTGATAGCTTATTTTGAAATTTTGTGTTGTGATTGTTTCATCGCCATTCATTCCCTTCTATTTCAAATGAGCAGAATTGTCCTCTATCTTTAGTCGTATGGGGAAATAACTGGATTTCTTTTGGAGAATATTTAGGTCTACCACTAGAATACTACTAATTTCTGTTAAATTCCAGAATCATCGCAAATTCTCCATAGCTCTAAGTCAATCTAGCTTCCACTTCTTGTTAACGACCTTTCCTCCTCCGTAACTATAGCAATCCTAAAATTGAGCCTCTCCCATGGATTGTTTAGATCTCCTGATGCTATCGCTACCTTTTAGTGATCCTTGCTAACTTGGTGTCGTCATGCGTATTTCATGGTTTGAAGTTATTTCTAATTCTTCCTTCCAACTTTTCAGCGTTTTCTTTTATCAGTGGAGAAGTGGAAGATGTCTTTAGTGTGATTTTTTAAACGTTAGTGTCATCATAAGTAATTCACAACTTCCAAGGAAAGAAATGAAGCCACTGCGTTTCTGTGTGGTAAAATTTTTCATCCTTTTGTCTTAACTGCCTCTCTCATTTTGAAGGCTTTATTATTTTGTACAAAATCATTTTATCAACATTAGAAACTGTTGTGGTTCCTCTGAGAGGTAGCTATTATTTCCCTCTCTCCTCTCCACTCCTTGGCTGGATTTTAGTTGTGGAGGAGCACCGGATCATTCTTGTAGATCTTTTTAAACCCTGTTAAAGGTTGGTCCCAGATGTTTTATGATTTCTAGGAGAAGGGGTTTGAAGTAATCGCGTCTATTTGTGGCATTTTTAACTTCCCTATCTTCGCGGCCTCTTCTGAATCACTGGCCTTGGGCCTCTCTTTCGTCCCGGGATTGTTAGGCTAGCTACCGTCATCCTTGAACTTGCCAAAATCCAATATTTGCTGTTAGTGTCTCAGAGGAAAGTTGTTCTAATTTGATACTATCTGTCATCAGCTAAAATGGGCCCAAACAACAAACTTTGGTGTTTTTCCAGCTGAAATCGAGAAATAATCATTGTGTTGTTTTTATGGATTTGGAGCTGAAAGCAATTTATGTGTATTTGCTAGGCTATCACCAGAGAAACAGTCTCGTGTTTTTAGCTATATCTCATTTTTGTTAGTTGTTAAAGAAGAGATTTGAAGGTCGCTAACACCGTGACGTTTCGTACAGGGTTTAATGTTCTTTTAGCAACTTACCATCAGGTCTTTAATGTCTGGAAAGCATCATAGCAGTTAGTTCTGAGTAGGATCGATTGTACAAGTTGTTTGGTTGGGTGGATATTACCTTACCATATTTTTGGCTACCCGTTTTTGTCTATTTATACTTTTCTCTTGCATAGGTGATGTAGAAATTCTCCACCTTTCATTCCCCTGTAACAGTAATGAAAGTTTATTTCCACTTGAAGCTTCCCCTTCCCTTCGGCCATTCCATCCTGGGATTTACTAAACCTGATGCTGTATTCTGCTTTCTTTGCACTACTTTGATTCCGCTTGCCACTGTAACCACATACTTATCAATCAGCTTGTTTTTACATTTTGAGCTACTACTATCTTTTTAGGATAGCGAAACTGAGACACCACGATTGTAACTGAAACTTGGGTTGATCAAATTTAGGTGTCATTGCGTCATTGGCACTCAAACTTAGCGCTAAAAAGAACGCCCTTTACTTTGTCTCCCAGTGTTAGTGGTGGGTGGCTTCTCTTTAATCATCGTATTGGCCGAAAACGTTTGGCATTGCCTGAGATAGATTTAGAAAACGAAAGACAGATATAAAAATCTTGTATGTTTTTGAGTCAGAGCTGATGGTTCATGCGAACTCTACCCGAGGAGCGAGCAAATGGCAACTCTTGGATACTTGGTGAGGGGAAAAGTCTGAGATTGAAATTTGTCCGTCCCCTTACAGATGTCCCTTTCCCACTAAACCAGGTTGCACTTTTTGTCAGTTGAAATCTTTTTGCCTTTAGACTTTGAATCTGAGCGCATTTTTTCTGCAGTGGAAACTATTTTAAATGAAACAATAGATGGTTAAGTGGAGACAAGCCTCATTGTAAGGCTTTTCAGTATCTTATTTCAAAAGCAACCTATTTGGCTTTCTTAATTTAACATACTTGTGAATTCTCAAGGTTATACTTAAACACAACCGTTCTAGTTACATTCAACTGGCCGGTCGAATTTTTTTGTTTTAAAGGTGCTACCGTGATCCTTTACTAGTAAGTGATTAGTTCTGTAAGACATCTGAAATTGGTTCCATTCCGGGTCTGTTCATATTCTGTACGAGCTACACTCCAAGATAGAGCTGCAAATCGAATTACACTAATAGCTAGTTATGTATCACTTAGAGAAAATGCTCCATTCTATTTTTTGCACAATTTTGGTGGTTGTGACTTGATTCTACGTGCCTTGGCATATGATACCGGCTAGAGCGTAAAGTCATTCTACGATACTTGGCTATGCATGGTCAGTTAACAATTCTGGGTGCTTAAATAGTTGTCTTCACTAATCATAGGTACATTAACGGAAACAATTGCTAATTGCAACGATTTGTGAATTAGAAAACCCATGTATAATAATTAAAGATGCTAGAAGATATGGAAGCTTAAAAATACTTTTCCTCTGGTGATAAAGGGCGCTCTGAGTGTAGGTACTGGAATAAGAGTTGAATTATTGCCCAAGACTGCAACAACACTCAACATAGCTTTAGTACCGCTTTGGTTTCAAAATTACTTACAGGATGGGATGGATTTGAAAGCGTTTCTGGTTGCATTAGTTACACCTCCCTAGATGGGTTTTATTTTGGCAATAGCTGCGTTGGATGAATTCGTGTGTACTGTTATCTTGGGGACCAGACAACGTCCTAAAACTGTTGGGCTTTGTCCAAAATATGCGCTTAAAGGCAGACGCCCAAAAAACCTTGCATGCAAAAAGGCATGATTCACCTTTTTGGAGCGTTCATGGTAAACCGGGTTCCCTCGACTCCAGAAGGAAGTGGACTAACTTCAAGGGGTAGCAACGGAATTCATCTTTCCACCAAATTCATTCACTTATCCTTGCTTTTAACTAATGCCTGAAATGCAACTTTGATATAGAAGGGATTCCGGGTACGACTGAACTAGCCTAGGGCGGTCTGCTTTATCGTTCTGGACTTCACATTGTACCAATTTTCTTTTCACATTGGAAACACGTGTTTGTGAATGAAAGTGGTCACCATTTCCACAGAAATCTCGTACAAATTTATCACAGGTTTCGTGTCGATTATCGATCTAGAATCTAAAATTTACTGTTAGCAGGTGAACAGGGAAGTTGAAAGACCAGCAGATGTGAATCACACACAAATATAGAGTCAGTTATGTAGCATAACTTCCATTCAAGCGGGCATCGGTCACACTTCGTCACGTGTGGGTGTGTTCCCAAGTTCATTTGATTCAGCTACACTGCGCTAGAGTTTTCTCGTGGCTCTAATGGGCAGACAATCGTGTGACACAAGAAACCGCACTACCCACGTTGACATGCGATTTATGGAAATTTCCCTCCCTTGAAGGGAAATGAGTGTGGAATGGGAGGTACTCTCCTCTTCTTCCCCATCTTTTTACCTCTTATATTTATACTTTTGTGCAAATTAGTGCCTTTTGATTGCATGTATGTGCCTACGTCTCTAAGTGTGTATGCTCTTACGTCTGCACTTCTCAGGTCTCTTTGTCGTCGTAGTTTTCAGACGTTGTCTAACCATTTTTCAATACCTGCAAATCTTACTGAGTTTGCCTCAAGTCATAGAAAATGAAGATTGAAACTCATTTAATGAGTTTTAAGTCATTGCTTTGGTTGTTATGTTTTGCTACGTCAGATTTGTCTGCGCCAGATTGACAAGCTTGAAATATTTCATTGTCTCACTACTTGATAATCTTACTGTTTGGCTTCATTTCAGGGAGAATGAGTGCTAAGGTCTGCTTGGCAGGGTCTGAGCTTTTGCCGCACTGGCTTGTGTGCCTAGTGATAAGTGGTACCCTAGCATAAGGTAGCCCTAAAAATTGGTATGGTTTTTAAAGAAAAAATTAAAATTGCCCATTGAAAGCCTCTTTAAGTACTTTATTTGCTAAAATGATTTCAAAGAAATAGGGGCGTAAATTACATTTTTCTAGGACAGTTTAACTCCGGAAACCGAAACTCGGCTCCAACTGCTTCTGTTTCCATCATCCATCTCGCTTGCATCTCTCCCTATTGTCAATCGTCTATTTCGCGGGCGGTCATGTGATCATATGATCGCGTGACTATGCAGTAGTGGTGTTTTGGTACGATGAAAACTATCAGTTGGAAATGAGTACTGAATAGGGGGAACGAGAATAAGGATAGAAATAAGAAGAGGATGAGGTTTTAATTCCCCACCTTCCCTCCTAAGGTGGAAGTCCTGTCGCGAATAAGTTGTGCGGGATGAAGTGTGAGATGTTAGGCATTGATGTGAGATAACACCAAGAAGAGGGTCGTCTTCCGCCTGATTTGCTGACTGGTTGTAAGCGCTTCTGAAGAAGAGATTATCAGACTCACATTCGAGTTGTATGATAGGTCTCAGCCCTAATTTCTTGACCTTTAGAAGGTGAGCAGTTGGGCCTGTAGTGGGAATGGAGCATTGTCTGCCACAGAAGTGTAGATCGGTGGTGGGTGAGTGAAGGGAGCGTTTGTTGATAACTCGTGATATGTTCAGTCACTTGACGAACGCTAAAATAAGAAATGACAAATTTTATTTTTCATGACAAGTCAGTTAATTAGTCAGCCAGAAGAGGGCTTAGAACGTTTGACGTGTTATTTGAAAAATGAGTGAAAGGAGTTGAGGGTATATCGGCACTACTATTGCCTCGTGTTTCCTAATACACACTTAGTATCTTAGCTACTCTCACGACTTCCACGTAGTGTCGGCTTAAACTAGGTATTGCATCATCCACATGACGTTGTGCGTTAGTGGAAGTGGTTAATGGCACTTTAATGTGGAATATATTTGGTAGATGGTGACACACTTCTGTTTTTGATTAAAGTAGAGGGCATCCCTGGCTTTGGGTGATTCGTCACCTCTACTGCTGCATGACACCTCGGGGCTCTCTAGGGCCGGTACTTTAGGAGGTTAGTTTCTGGAACCTTAGGTGTGAGTTTGACTTGGTTGAATTGAAAGGCGAAAGGGTAAAATATCCACAAGATTGCGGTGATGAGATGTGGTGGTGAAAAATGAGAGGGAAGTAGTGGAGAACACAGCGGATTACCGTATTGCGTGTTTTATGGTGAAAACAGATATTTAATTGCAAGCCTTTTATGAATGTTTACAAGTTGTCACGCGTCATCAGATTGAAAACTGAACGAATTTTTTTCGTCACTCAATATTATTGCGGCGTGCTGTTTATCGAGAAACTAGGAATAAACAGCTTGTAAAAATGCCAAAGTGCTAGTTGCTTCTCTTTGCTGTTCCCTCTTCCAGTATCGGACTAAATTTACTATTTTCGTTAGGTATGGGGTTCTGGTTTGTTTATTTGCTCATCTGACAAGTTTTGTCGCAGTACGCTCCTTATCCAGGTATTGGCCTCCATTAGGGGAGTAAGTGCCCTATATTCTTATTTCGTATTGGTAGATATGATTAAAAAATGTGTACTTTTTGCTGGGCTTTCGAGACAATGTCATGCATATTCATGCATGCATACACAAATGTCGCGTGGCATTGTTGATTGTAAAATGCCTTGTCTGTTAGACAGGGTCTTTCGTGTTAGACTCAAGAAATGTCAAGGCGTCAAAAATGCTAGTAGGTGTCTTGTGATTTAACCACAACTTCATGAATCGACTCATTCGAGTTGTCATTGGTGAACAAGCATCTGATGAACCCATCTGGAAGAGGTAACTAAACTAGCTCGCTAGCTGACAGCGGTTGGGGTTGATAAAGCTACCAGAACCAAACCAATTGTACGAAATCATTATTCAACTTCTAGGCCTCGTGTTAGTTCCCATAAACTGTAATAAATGCCTTCATTAAGTTAACTATCTCATGTCTTCTACCCACGGACATGTTATATAATATACGGAACTTCTAATTTTACCGCATGATGAACAGTGGTTACTTTTTGACACTTGAGCGTTGTAAGCATTGCTTTAGGTGGGCGGACGCATTTTTAGTCAATTGTAAATCGTCATATTAGCGTGTTTACTAAATTTTATGGATTTTTTTTGATTTTATGCTTTTAAATTGGATGAAGAACTGTTTCTTTGGATAGAATAAGGCATCTTTTCTTTTCCTCCGATTTTAAGCTTAAAATTCTTTCTTTTTCTGGTTTTTCCGTTATTGCAAATTCATGTTCTTTAGCCTTTGATCTGTTTTCCTTCTTGGATAAAAGGGTCTGCTGTACTTTCGAGTAAACGTTCCACAGGATAGCCAGCTTCGAATATTTGGTCTTTGTACAGATTACGAAAATTCATCAAGTTGCTTAATATCGTCTGCTTCGTTTCGGCAGAAGATTTTCATCTTAGAAAGGAATAAAGTGCTTGAGAAGCCTATTAACAGGGGCAGAGATGGTGCAAAACGATGAACTGAAATCAACTTTAACTAAATGTTGCGAATAGTCGCCTCAAAGTGTCTCCTCGCACCGCAACTTCATCATCTATTGGCGAGTATGGACAAGTTATTACTCGTTACTAGCAGTATAGCCGCACTCAATTTGCTCCACAGCAGCGTATATCCTGTTTGAGAAGCATTTAAACTCGTTTCTACTCGCTTTTGGATGACTCACATTTAACGGATCTAATACGTGTGCGGAAATTAACATAAATGTTTAAACTTGAGTTTAGAAATTCCAGCCCCCTTTTTGAAACAATAGTAACCACGTGATTGGGATGCTTAAAGCGAGAGAATGAAATCGGGAAGGCTTTATATTCCTTTGATCCATTATTGGATTGGATCAATATTGGTAGTTTTTGGTGAAGAAAAAAATGGAAAACTTACACCCAAGAACGATGGAATCAGGCCAAGGAGATCTCAAAATCACAAGAAAGAAGACAATATTGAAAAGTGGAATAATTTTTGGTAAATAATTTGTCGAAATCAATTTAATGTTCCTATTATTTATTTCTTCATAAAAATCCACCAATGTTTGCTATTCACGGTGCCGCTTTACTGCGTTTTTTATGTCTCGTCTTTGGACGCGTTTATAATAATTTGCCTTAACACCGGGGTTGGTGTTTCATCCGATTTACGCAGTGTATGCAAACTGGCCCGCCTCCTATTTGTTCATTTTATCAGATTTAGTGAGGCACGCAAGTAGTTTTTGTCAGTGAAAAGTTTGGCTAATTTACTCTGCTTCCTGGCTCCCTCACCTTGCCCAGCTGACTTCTTTCCTATTGATGTGCCTTTATAATGGCTCTCCTGGCATTCTTTGTACCTTGCTTGGTAGTAATCCGATGGAAGGCCTTTAGGAATTCTTGACAGCTTTAGGCGCCTCAAGTGGTTTCTTTGGGATGAAAACTTAAAGATATTGAATGAGAAACCTGTGAATATTCTCAGCTAGTATCTACGGTTAAATATTAAGCATTGGGACAATTAACAAACCTAATCCTAATTATCACCGACTTTGACCGTTTCCTGTTGATATTGTTCTTTCCTTGTCACCAGATTGTTGGATTGATTTATGCAGATGAACTACTTTATTAACATTTTAATCAAACGAATACTACGAATTTTAGATATTTGACCCCTTATTCTGACTAGGAATGGAGACTGCATTGTAGAGCCTTATTTACCAAGTCTAATTGAAGCCTGGACAATGCTTATAAGCACTCAATATCAAAAAACTCCATTAAGCTATACACCATCTTCATTCCTACTTTTCGGTTTGTCGCCATTTCAACTCCATTTAGCTCCCCGTTCGAGTCTTCCTACCATCTCACAACTTTGAGGAGTACTGCGCCCATCCCCTCGAGTGCCTCTAAAGATTAATTCGATTTGCTCACCCCACTACTGATCAAGTCGTCGCGGATTCTGTATTCCTTCTGTTCTGAGTCTGAGGATTTAACCATCTGCATCATACGCCTATATTTGTTGTTCTTTTGAAGTAGAGTTGCTTGCAGATTTCACTAATGTAGTCTTTTGTGTCATTAGATATTCGGATTTGGAAGTGAAGTCATTGTAAACGGCCATAGAATGGCCGTAGGACTACTGGCACCACCGTCGAGGTCAAATCGCACGTAGTCAAATTGTCAATTACGAAATAGATATCGTTTTCCGCATAAGTTTTCCGTATTTCACAGGAAAGTCCTCGAATCGATGGGCAAGCCCTCGGAGCAATGGTACGCCATCGATCACGTGGCAGAGGGGTCAGAGGACAATATCTCTACCGGCAGATCGAAAGCCGCCGCGTCCGCCAATCGAAGTAGTGCTGGTGTAGGTGGTGGCAGCAGCACTGTCAACGGTAGCACCGGGGGCGCTTCGCGTCTCTGGACCAGTGCTCGACGACCCACATTGGAAATTGCTCGTGGTGGTGAGGGGGAATCCAATGTAAATGTCGAATTCATTACTACTCTGAAGGTAAGTGGTCTCTTACGTGGCCAGGTCCTGCTTCTAATCTCTTCCGTTAATATTTTGGTGTGACGCGTGGTCTTTGGATATTGCCAGGCTTAGTTCGTGTTCTGGGGACGAGTTTTTATTTGTCATTTCTCGACAGCTTCTTTGACTAGATGGATCTAATCCTAGTCCTGGTCATCCACTTGTTTCAGTGATCTGTCTTTGTTGTTCTCAACCTCTGATGGCGTTAGAGTTCCAGATTCCGCTCGCCGTTATTTGGGTTTTCGTTTCGACCAGATCACCTAATTTCAATGCTATAAGTGTGAAGCTTGTAAATTTGGCCAAGTTCAATTTTCTCTCAATAGTTTCCTGGCTTTATGGTGTTCAAATGTATGCTGGATCCATTCAGTCAATGTTGGGAAAAGTTTTCTTTTCGAAGGGGCAAATTAGACTTTTTGAGTCAGGGAGTACAGAGTTTGGTCTTTCAATTGACTGTGTGGTTTCAGTTTCCCCTACATCGTTCTGCTTTGCTTTGAAGCATCTGACTTATCTCTCAATACGTTGAATTTCATACAGCTATGGAGGTAGCTTTATTACAAACGTACAAAACAGCTGAAAAACTAATAACCTCATACTGCTTGTGTAGAAGTCGAATCGCGGGAGATTGAAGACGAATGCATTGTCCGATTCACAAGTACCATAGTGTCCTGGTGATCTTAGTGACTACTCTTCAGTCACAGCAGGAGGACTTCCACACTGAAAATGTTTCTTTTTGAAATGGCCTTTAAAACTGGGTGTTTTTTACTAGCCAGCGCATTTTATATGTCAAGCGCTTTTATAGAAACACTTTTCGAATGCATTAACCTATTTATTGTCATCCTTAGTTCCCACAAATTCCACCATCCATGCCAGAAACCTCCATCCTCCTTTCATCCTCCCTACATCGCTCTAAAATTGTGGGTATTGTTTTTTTATTCACCATCTCTATTCTCTAGTAACTTTGTTTGAAGGGTGAACATGATTTTGGGTAATATAATTAGAGGTAAAAAATTATTTTTTTAACTGGAAAAAATAAAGGCACCGGTCTGCAGTTACGTGATCGTGGAGGTTATACCACTCACCTCGATTTTGACAGCTCACCATGACTACATTTCGCCAGCACTTTTAATGGCGTCTTTATTCCATTTATAATTATTTCACTACTTGGGTTTATCACACATGGTGTGTTTATTGCGCCATCGGATTGATTCCTCTAAGGTCGCTTACGCGCTGGTCGTAGTTGTGGCTTTGTTCACGCTGATTAGTCGACTAGCCTCATCCTTGAAGAGTGGCCATAGCTGAGCTAAGCGTTAAACACGGTCTTCGTTATGCCACCATTGGAGATACTTAAGAGAGGCGCATAATTATAAAAGATTTTGTGGTCACTATGACAGAGAGTGGTGTGATAGGCCATTTGTTGCACTTAGCTCATTGCATATTGAATGCTTGTTCTTTTACAAAAAATAGATTTTCGGCGCATCGGTTTTAAATTTAATTTGAAGATGTTTAAAAGAACTTTGATAAAAATGGCAAAAATGGTGATGGAAAGGTAATACGATTCACACACGCAGTTTGGTCAGACCTTCACCCATTTTAACAATAAGCAGCATCAAAGGAAGGCGATTGGGGATAGCTGCCAAAACAACAACAGTAAGTACGGAGTTGCCACATTTACTCCTTGATGGTATGTCACAAATTTTTACTGGTTGAAGAAGACTACGTTTCAAGTGGAACTCCGCATACACACCACTGTGCAAAATAACAACTACTAGTGCACACTTCACGTAAGGTTAGGTGAAGTGACGCCAGCCACATGCATTACGCCTTCGCAACACTGCAGCATTAACCAATCCTGCAATAATCTCGTGAGAATAATCCTTTTTGATTTCCACCGTGTACTCAAATGATAAGCATCAATGCACTCCTAAGCGCTTTATTTATGGAATCTCCAGAAATGGACCAGAGGACAGAGAGGGAGAAAACCGAGTATATATCATCCAGCCTTCAAAGTTCCTTCTCCCTATTCCAGTTTCTTAACTTTGACTACGTAAATCTCAAGGTTCCATTTCGCGAAATTCGTATCAATACTCCCATTTCACTGCCCACTTATGAGATTCCTTTCCACATAACTCATAGCCGTTTAGCGAAGCAAAGGTTAATTAGCATATGATGGTTTGCATACATTTCAAAAGAGAACAGTTCAAGAATCTCCTACTCGCCTGTTTTTCTTTTAATTAAAGAGCCAACTGAAAAGTACACAGGCATCAAAAGGACCAAAAGATGCCACTTTTAAGCAACATCCATACTTCTGTGGATGTGCGTATAAAGGTCACTCATGATGCTACGTTTTTCCCCTCCCTTCTTCCCTCTCACTTCCCATTTGATTCATCCGCTGATCACTTTGCATACCCAGTCCACCCACTCCCACGATAAGATAAAGCGCAACAAAAGGGACGTCTTATATCCATCCACCTACTTGATGCCTACCTTTTTACACCTTGAACAGCTCTCATGTTTCACTGCGCCCACAAGCACTCCCCTTTATTCCGTTTTTTTGAAATCCAGCAATGTTGTGACTCAGGGTTCAAACGGACTCGCGTGTGAACGACATACACGCTCACTCACTCAGCTAAACAACACTCACCCTATCCCCCTTTATTAACTAATTCAGCTCCGACACCTCTTTGCTCTGTATCGCTCAATACTTCATCACACTCGCATGTTGACCACATAGACCATCTAGATATGTCTACCCACAACTGTTCGACCGCCATCTCTTCATTAAGTCAAACTGACCGACCGACCTGACAGACAGTGACCGAATGACTGAATGGTTGAGAATCGTTGACACATCCTCGCAAGAGGGGAGAACGTAGTCAAAGTGTAAACTGCAGGGTGGCTATATCAATTCGCTAACTTCCTAGGTGATGATGCCAAACTCAATTGACCGAATTTGGCAAGTCGTGTGCAAGCTTTCGCGAAAAAAAGCGACACCACCAACACATGTCGGCGTCCTCTAACCCTTTGTTGATGTGTTTTGCGTAAAAGTAGCGAAGGGAATCAAGGACCAAAGGCGAAAGGCAATTAATATCCTCTGTAACATGCGCTTCGCTAGCATGTTTTGGAATGCGTGCATGCACGCAGGCGAGCGAGTGCTTGCACAACGTTCCTTCGGTAAAATCGCAGAAATGCACACACTTTGTACCGCAACTTGACCGCAATGCAGAAGTGGAACCGTGGCCAAAGAGAGGAGGCTTTTGGAATTGTGTGTAGGTGTGGGGTGGACAGATCTCTTAAACACACTCGAGGCTGACGAAACGGGGCGCCAATATCATGCGGCCTCAATGCGACACCCACTTTCCTTTGACTTGACTGATTCGTTGGGTGTTTGCGCACCGCGCGTGTGATAGCATCAAACGGAAATAAGGAGGGACGCTGGTTTGTTTGGTTTACGGGTTTCGCGTCCAGAGGGGGTTCAACAGTGCCCAACACTACGGGTGCCACGAACGAAGTTGGATGTTTCGTTTGTCAAGACATTTCCCGAACTGAATACTTTGAGATTTTTGCTCACTTTCTGACGTAGTCCGGTGGGAAACAACGCAAGTTGCTCGGCAGGGACATTCTCACCTTTACCACACACGATCCGCCTCCTTATGTGCCTGTCTGTAAGTACTTTCGTAGGAACGAAATTTGCAATTTACGTTCAAGTGGAGAATCAATGACAGGAGGCGGAAGGCATTCTTACCGCGATTATTCATGCACACCAAAACCCCAATCAGTCGGTAGGCTCATGCAGTGCGAACTGTCCCAGGATAGACAATCAACCAACACCTTTTGTGTACATGAAGCACTTGCGCCTTTAGGTGGCAATTAACCTCCCTACAGCCTATCAGCACCGGTTGGAGTGAATACTCCATTGCCGGATTCTGGGCAGTTTACGGCGGAAATTCCGTTTCACCTCATTCTGCCCCAGTCTCGCTCACTAGCACTCAAGCTCTTTTCAATTTCTCATTGGTGAGCAGGCTCGCGCGGCAAACTTCCCACATCGAATCACAGATCATCTCAGCAAATAGCTAAAACCTTGCCTAATACTGTGAAAGTACGGTCTCTTCACTACATTTACTAACACACCAGTGGACATCACATGCATCTTTCTCACTTTCCAACCACAAGTACCCAATTATGATCCACTCATCATGTGACTCATTAGTTTTCAACTTCACAGTCCTCTCCACTGTGCAACAAATTAACAATAGTAATACGCTTTACGGAAGAACGCACATTTGTGCTACCATCATTGTAGACGCTGCATTCGCCGCAGTGCTCAGCAGTCTGCCTTTCTACAGAGATATCAAACACTAGTGTGTTGCAGCTAAGCTGTTGCTTTCCATTAGCCGAAGAAGTACATCACTGTTTCGTCGTATTGTCAGTTGGGAATTAAGTGATGCTAGTTCAATTTCGTAGTCTTATTCGTCGTGTCTCTACTTTGTGCGTTTCTTCTCCCTCTCCTTTTCTACGCCTACCACTTATTAAGGACCATCATGCACACTATCGCCTGCGTCTTCCAATGATCCGCACCCTTCTGAAGTGCCACACCCTGTTGCTCTGGCGCTACTATGACGTCCCATCCAGTCGCCTGCAAAGTGATTTTGCACTCCATACGAACATAACATGACCAACAATTGTTGAGTTCAGTCTTGATGTTGTGTTGTTTTGTATCTAGGGGAATGGGGACTCATGGCACCTTTGTAAAGGGGAGTCAATGGCTAATCTTGGCATCTTTCTCTAATATTTTCAATATCGTAAAACAAACCCTGCTTCCGAGTCACGAGCAGTTGGAGATACACGTTTTCACTCTCACCACAACCAGCTCTAGACTCATCAATTCTGTTCTCAACCCATGCCTCCCACATCACACCCGGCTTTTGTGTTTTGGGGAATACAATCACCCGCTTCCACTGAATGGTCTCCTCATTCAAACTGTCGACCGATAGTGTGAATCCCATTGCTACCGGTCGGCGAACCCCTCGTCCCATGTGCAGTTGTTATTTACTGAGGGGCAGAGCCTCTGCTTAATGCTTATCCCCACAAGATGAAGACTTCAGTCACCCCATTCCCCCTAGTGACCGTTGAACTGCCACATAGATCATCTTTCAGAGGGAGAACCGCCAATTTTACGTATGGCCTTACCTCGACGATTTGCAATGCAGCACACCCTCTGTGTGTCCACTTCTCTATTTTTGAACAGATAAGTAGTAAAAAGTATGCTTAACTCGATTAGCCGTGCAGTTGTTGCCATCCTCCATAAACCCATCTGTGCATCGGTGTACCAGTGTGCTTGTACATGTTCCTCCATGACACATTATCTTATACAGCACATGGAGTGATAGGCCATTTAGCCTCTGTGTAGCGTCGTTCGCGCACGTGTGCGTGGGTCTGTCTGCATTTCGTTACCGCGATGAAATGCTTTGCAAATAACCTAGTGGAAAGACACCAAGGGTGTTTCACATCATCGTAAAATTGTTGCACATATCGACTCATCTTCCTGTGCTGCAAGAATCACCACCAAAGTAGCCCCCAAAAAGCAGCAGTAGG